ATTTTTGGATTTTCTAAATTTTAGATTCGATTCGAATTATTGGTCTTCAACTTTTCGATTTCGATTTCCCTTTTCCCGTTTTCTCGAATTTTTGATGTTCCGATTCTTCTCGATGTCCTGATTTTTTGGTTTCTTATTTTTTCAATTCACTTTTTAGAATATCCAATTTTCCAGTTTTTCAGGTTGTTTTTTCAATTTTTTGATTTTAAAAATTTTCGATTTTTCGATTTTTCACTTTTTGATTTATCAATTTTTCGATGTTTTAGTTTTGAAATTTTTTCAGTTTCTCCTTTTCTCGAATTTTTGAGGTTTAGATTTCTCGATTTCTCGATTAATCGATTTATCTATTTTCCGATTTCTCGACTCATCGACTTTTCGATTTTTTAATTCCATTCCTCGATTTTCCCATATTTCAATTTTTCCATTTTTCGGTTTGTGAGTTTTTCAGGTTTTTGTGTTTTCAATTTTTCGATTTTTTAAATCTTCAATTTTTGAATTTTTCCACTTTTCGATTTTCTGAGTTTTCGATTTCTCGATTTTTCAATATTTCGGTTCATCAAAGTTTTTGTGTTTTGAATTTTTAGATCTTTTCAATTGTTCAATTGTCTCATGTTTGGATTTATCGAATTTGGGCTATTTCGATTTCTCTATTTTTCAAATTTTCGACTTTTCGGCATTTCGATTTCTTGATCTTTCCATGTTTTAATTTCTCAATGTTTCAGTTTTTCAATTTCTCGATTTCTCGATTCTCCGATTTTTTGACTTCGATTTTTTGTTTTTGGAAAATTTCAATTTTTTAATTTTCCGTTATTTCAGTTCATCAATTCTCGATTTCTCGTTTTTTAGTTTTTCAGTTTTTCGTTTTTTAAATATTAACTTTTTTTTAATTCAATTTTTCGATTTCTCAACTTTTCGATTTCTCGATTCTTCTATTTTTCGATTTTTTCGTTTTTTTGAATCCCGTTTCTCGATGTCTCAAATTTTTAATGCAACGATTTCTCGACTTCTCAAATTTTCGATTTTCAAGTTTTTCAAACAAATCAATTTTTTGATTTTTAGAATTTTCGATTTATCGAATTTTCCATGTTTCGATTTCTCAACTTCTTCGCGATTTCCCGATTTTTTATCAATTTTTAATTTGTTCAACTCACTTTTTGAAACTTTTTAATTTTTTTTTCAATTTTTCGAATTTTTAAATTTTCAAACTTCCAACTTTCTTCGATTTTTCAGTTTTTCGATTTATCGTCTTATCAGTTTTTCTATGTTTCAGTTTGGGAATTTTTTGATTCTTCAATTTTTCAATTTTTCAGTTTTTTTTTTCTTAATTTTTCGATTTTTCACTTTTGGGATTTTTCAGTTTTTCTTCGATTTTTCGATTTTTTGATTTTCTGATTTTTCGGATTTTAGATTTTTTGTTTTTCCAATTTTTCAATGTTTCGAGTTTTCAATTTTTCGATTTTTCCACTTTTTGATTTATCATTTTTCGATGTTTCAGTTTTGGGATTTTTCAGTTTCTCCTTTTCTCAAATTCTTGAGGTTTCGATTTCTCAACTTTCAGTCGATTTTTAATTTTCCAATTCTTCAATTTTTCGATTTTTAAAATTTTTCAATTTTTTGCGTTTTTAATATTCGATTTTTCGATTTCTCGATTTCTCGATTAATCGGTTTGCCTATTTTCCGATTTCTCGACTCATCGACTTTTCGATTTTTTAATTCCATTCCTCGATTTTCCAATATTTCAATTTTTAGATGTTTCGGTTTTTGAGTTTTTCAGGTTTTCGTGTTTTCAATTTTTCGATTTTTTAAATCTTCAATTTTTCAATTTTTCCGCTTATCGATTTTCTGAGTTTTCGATTTCTCGATTTTTCAATATTTCGGTTCATCAAAGTTTTTGTGTTTTGAATTTTTAGATCTTTTCAATTGTTCAATTGTCTCATGTTTGGATTTATCGAATTTGGGCTATTTCGATTTCTCTATTTTTCAAATTTTCGACTTTTCGGCATTTCGATTTCTTGATCTTTCCATGTTTTAATTTCTCAATGTTTCAGTTTTTCAATTTCTCGATTTCTCGATTCTCCGATTTTTTGACTTCGATTTTTTGTTTTTGGAAAATTTCAATTTTTTAATTTTCCGTTATTTCAGTTCATCAATTCTCGATTTCTCGTTTTTTAGTTTTTCAGTTTTTCGTTTTTTAAATATTAACTTTTTTTTAATTCAATTTTTCGATTTCTCAACTTTTCGATTTCTCAACTTTTCGATTTCTCGATTCTTCTATTTTTCGATTTTTTCGTTTTTTTGAATCTCTAATTTCTCGATCTCCCGAATTTTCAATGTTGCGATTTTTCAACTTCTGAATTTTTCGCTTTTCAAATTTTTCAATTCAATTTTTTGATTTTTCAAATTTTCGATTTCCCGTATTTTTCATTTTCGGCTTCACAATTTTCCGATATTTCAGGTTATGATTTTTCAATGTTGCTATTCTTCAATTTTTCATTTTTTAATTTTTCGATTTTTCAAGTTTTCAATTTTTGGCGTTTCTAAATTTTTGATTTTTCGAATTCTTGATTCTTCGACTTTTCGATTTTTCACGCTTTTGATTTCTCCTTTTTTTTGGATTACTCGAATTTTCGATGTTTCGATTTCTCGACTTCTTCACCATTTCCCGATTTTTTATCCATTTGTAATTTGTTCCATTCACTTTTTGAAACTTTTTAATTTTTTTTAAATTTTTTCGATTTTTTAAATTTTCAAATTTCCAACTTTTCTTTGATTTTTCAGTTTTTCGATTTATCGTCTTACCAGTTTTTCCATGTTTCAGTTTGGGAATTTTTTGATTCAATTTTTTGGTTTTTCAATTTTTCGATTTTTCGGTTTTTCATTTTCTCAATTCTTCCATTTTTAGGTTTTTTAATTTTTCAATTTTTTAGGTTTTTTTGTCTTAATTTTTCGATTTTTCACTTTTGGGAATTTTCAATTTTTCCTCGATTTTTAGATTTTTTGTTTTTCCAATTTTTCAATGTTTCGAGTTTTCAGTTTCTTCAAGTTTTCTTTTTTTTTATAATTTCACAATTTTCGACTTCCTGATTTTTTTATTTTCCACTTTCCAATTTTCCAGTTTTAGGATTTTTCAATGTTTCAATTCGTAAATTTTTCCATTTTTCAAGTTTTCCCATTTTGGCGTTTCTAAATTTTTGATTTTCCGAATTTTTCTTGATTCTTCGACTTTTTGATTTTTCACGTGTTTGAATTTCCGTTTTCTTAAATTCTCGAATTTTTGATATTTTGATTTTTCGACTTTTTCTCGATTTCCCATTTTTTTGTCGATTTTTAATTTTTTCAGTTAACTTTTTAGATTATTTAATTTGTCAATTTTTTAGGTTTTTTAACTTTTCTTCGATTTCTCAGTTTTTGAGTTTTTCGATTTATCCTTTTATCAGTTTTTCTATGTTTGAATTTTAAGAATTTTTTGATTCTTCAATTTTTTGATTTCTCGTTTAATCGATTTTCTGGAATTTTTCGATTTCTCGAGTTTTCGAATTTTTAAATTTTCAAACTTCCAACTTTTCTTCAATTTTTCAGTTTTTCGATTTATCGTCTTATCAGTTTTTCCATGTTTCAGTTTGGGAATTGTTTGATTCTTCAATTTTTTGGTTTTTCAATTTCTCGATTTTTCGGTTTTTAATTTTTTCAATTCTTCCATTTTTAGGTTTTTTAATTTTTCAATTTTTTAGGTTTTTTTCTTTTTTAGATTATTCACTTTTGGGAATTTTCAATTTTTCTTCAATTTTTTGATTTTTTGATTTTCCGATTTTTTCTCGATTTCCCATTTTTTTATCGATTTTTAATTTTTTCAGTTGACTTTTTAGATTATTTAAGTTTTCAATTTTTGAGGTTTTTGATTTCTCAATTTTTTGAATTTTTAAAGTTGCAGATTTTTTAACTTTTCTTCGATTTCTCAGGATTTCAGTTTTTCGATTTATTCTTTTATCAGTTTTCCTATGTTTCAGTTTGGAAAATTTTTGATTCTTCAATTTTTTGATTTCTCGTTTAACCAATTTTCTGACTTTTCGATTTTTCATTTTTTCAATTCATTCATTTTTAGATGTTTGAATTTTTCAATTTTTAAGGTTTTTTCTTAATTTTTGGATTTTTCACTTTTGGGATTTTTCAATTTTTCGACTTCTCGATCTTTTCATGTTTCAATATCGCCATGTTTCAGTTTTTCAATTTTTCGATGTTTCGATTTTTCAATTTCTCCATTTTTCAATTCTTCAATGTTTCGTTATTTAAATTTTTCGATTTTTTTTACATTCTTCAGTTTTGCGAATTTTTAATCTTTCGATTTCATGATTTTAAATTTTTTTAATTTAATTTTTCTATTTTCCTATTTCTGGACATCTCGGTTTACCGATTTTTAAAACTGTCGGCTTTTCGATCTCCCGATTTTCCAACATTTCAATTTTGGGAATTTTTCAGTTTCTGTATTTTTCAATTTTTCGATTTTTTGATGCTTTTATGGCCCGATCCTTCAATTTTTCGACTTTTCGTATTTCGATTTTTCGTTTTTTTAATTTGTCAATTTCTCAAGTTTTCGATTTTAAATTTACGCCACTGGAACTTTATAGAGATAATTAGAAAACAAAAATCGTATTTTTTTGACATCAATCAGTGTGGTTAAATCAGCGACATACTAAACCTTTTCCAAACAATGGAGTGGAAGAAACCTAATCCAAAATTAATATAATTATCCACCCTAATTCCCCAACAATTAACCCTTTGATTGAGGACCTAATCCCAATGCATCATTTTATATTAATCAGCCGGTGACAGCTGGCAGATGTTGAGGTGGGTATCAATTTAATTACGCAACTCCGGTACACAGCAGTGACATAATAGCTCCTCCCGGAAAATGTACGACATACCTCCCTAATTGATCTCCCTCCTAGCAACGCAAAATCATCATCGAACCCCAACCCCATTCACACTCCCAGCCAACTTACGTAAGAAATCATGGGCAAGTTGAACGCCGCCGCCATGAAGGCCTCGTGCTCGCACGTCTCCTGGGGTCCCACGTACGCCGACACATTCTTCGTCCACAGATCCGCCGTCTTCTGCACGCTGATCACCTCCTCGCCGTAGGTCTCGGCGACGATGAAATCCAGGCTGTGGCCGCGGTCCCCCAGCTCGCCGTGGTTCACCTCGTCGACGGCCAAGGAGATGGCCCCGGATATGGTGAGCCCGGGCCTGGGGTACTCCAGGTCGCCGGGGCGCCGCTGCGAGCCCGTTAAATAACCTATTGTAAAAGTTTCGGTGCTGCTTTCAGATAGTGTCATGGCTATTATGACAAACAACTCGAGCATTTCTTTCCGGAAGCCCTGGAAAATAAAATTCGAATAAATAAGTTGGGTGGTTTCGGGCACCTGGAAGTTGGAGGAAATGGGTGAAGGAGGGAGATGGGGTGGTAGGGGGCGAGAATCTGCCCCCGCTGGGTGCGTAAGTGCTACTCTATGTGACATTAACTGCCAGCTGGTTGGGTAGAGTTGTTGCACTCTGGCGGTGACCCCGTTACATAAAGATAGCCCTGGAGCAGCTTTGCATTTAAGCTCATTTTTATGTAGATGCATTGGGGGTGGGCGGCGGCGGCTCACTATCGCCGCCGTTACTTAAAGACAAGTTTTTAAGAATCAATTTAAAAGCGTTTGCGAATATATTAAGTATATAGATTTAGATTCCCTTTTAAAAGAATTATGGTTATAATATTTCCAAAAACTCCGGTATAACTTAAGACTGCCTTTTTATGTTATTTAAAATAAGACACATTGTATTTTAAAACATTTTCAAATTTATCCACCCGTGTATTTAGGTTTTACTAGTTTCACGATTTTTTAAAATACATCAAAAATGAAAATGTTTGTTTCTTCAAATCTCTGACTGAATTTATTTTTTTAAGCGTAAATTCGACCACTTGACAAAATAAAGTTTAATTTTCGTGTCAGAGTAAATAAATAAGCCAATGAAGTTCAAAACGGAATTGCATCCAATAAAATGAGTGACCAAAACGAAATTCGTGTGGGTGGGCGGGGTCTTGAATATTTTTAAAATTAGTTCGCCAGTAAAATTCAGTTTTCCTGGAATCACAAAAAATCAATGAGATTAAAAATCAGTGGTGGGTGTGGTTAGTTTTACCTTTTCGCCTAGATTCCAATGTTTACCATTATAAAATCCCCTTTTTGTCCAATAAAATGATTGCTAAGAAAGAAAACCGGGTGGGTGGGCGGGGCCACTTTGAAGTTTTTTTAATTAGATTGGACTACTTGCCAAAATAGAATTCAGTTTAATTTCCCAATAAAAAAATAAGCCAATAAAATGCAGACGCTAGTGGGTGGGACTAATTTTACCTTTTAGTCTATTTTACTATTGTTTGTCAATATAAAATCAACTTTTCGTCTTACAGCCAATAAAATGAGTGACTTATTTTATTGTCTTTTAATTAAAGGAGAATCTCAAAAACTTGAAAAATGAAAAATTAAAGTGATTAAAATTTTCCCGAAAACGTTCAGATTTAAGTGAAAAGAGCTTTCAAAAGGGAAATAAATACCCACTAAAAATAATGAAAATCTGAAAGCTCTAAAGATTATAGAAATTCTAGAGATTCTAAAGGTTCCAATTTTTTAACTTTTCAATTTTGCTGTTTTTTGAATTTCCCATTTTTCAATTTCTCGAAGTTTTGAAGTTTTAATTTCTTTACTTCCAGATTTTTCCATTTTTGGTTTTTCAATGTTTCAGTTTTTAGATTTACCAATTTTTCAACATTTAAGGTTTTAGAATTTTTCAATTTTCGATTCTTCAATTTTTCGTTTTACCAATTTTTTAATTTCTCGATTTTCCGTTTTTTTTTATTTTTCAGTTCTTCGATTTTTCAAAGTTTACATTTTTCAATTTTAGGTTTTTTTGATGTTTCGATTTCCAGATTTTAATTTTTTTTTATTCAATTATTCGATTTTTCCACATTTCGATTTTTCTATTTTTTGAATTTGAAAATTTTCCGGCTTTTGATCTCTCTATTATTTTAAATTTTCAGTTTCTGAGTCGTTCGAAACTTCGATTTTGCGATTTTTTTCAATTTCTGTACTTTCTAATTTTTCGATTTTTGATGCTTTTTTTGCTCGATCTTTCAATTTTTTGATTTTTCGCTTTTCCAATTTTTCGATGTTTCGATTTTCCAATTTTTGGCAAATTTTAGGATTTTTCAATTTTTTGATTCTTCAATTTTTTGATTTACGATATCTCGATTCTCCGACTTTTCAATTTTGCTGTTTTTTGAATTTCCCATTTTTCAATTTCTCGAATTTTTGAAGTTTTGATTTCTTGACTTCCAGATTTTTCAATTTTTCGTTTTTCAATGTTTCAGTTTTTAGATTTACCAATTTTTCAACATTTAAGGTTTTAGAATTTTTCAATTTTCGATTCTTCAATTTTTCGTTGTATCAATTTTTTAATTTTTCGATTTTTCGTTTTTTTTTATTTTTCAGTTCTTCGATTTTTCAAAGTTTACATTTTTCAATTTTAGGTTTTTTTGACGTTTCGATTTCCAGATTTTAATTTTTTTTTTATTCAATTATTCGATTTTTCCACATTTCGATTTTTCTATTTTTTGAATTTGAAAATTTTCCGGCTTTTGATCCCTCTATTATTTTAAATTTTCAGTTTCTCAGTTGTTCGAAACTTCGATTTTGCGATTTTTTTCAATTTCTGTACTTTCTAATTTTTCGATTTTTGATGCTTTTTTTGCTCGATCTTTCAATTTTTTGATTTTTCGCTTTTCCAATTTTTCGATGTTTCGATTTTCCAATTTTTGGCAAATTTTAGGATTTTTCAATTTTTTGATTCTTCAATTTTTTGATTTACGATATCTCGATTCTTCGACTTTTCAATTTTGCTGTTTTTTGAATTTCCCATTTTTCAATTTCTCGAATTTTTGAAGTTTTGATTTCTTGACTTCCATATTTTTCCATTTTTCGTTTTTCAATGTTTCAGTTTTTAGATTTACCAATTTTTCAACATTTAAGGTTTTAGAATTTTTCAATTTTCGATTCTTCAATTTTTCGTTTTACCAATTTTTTAATTTTTCGATTTTCCGTTTTTTTTTATTTTTCAGTTCTTCGATTTTTCAAAGTTTACATTTTTCAATTTTAGGTTTTTTTGATGTTTCGATTTCCAGATTTTAATTTTTTTATTCAATTATTCGATTCTTCCACATTTCGAGATTTCTATTTTTTGAATTTGAAAATTTTCCGGCTTTTGATCTCTCTATTATTTTAAATTTTCAGTTTCTCAGTCGTTCGAAACTTCGATTTTGCGATTTTTTTCAATTTCTGTACTTTCTAATTTTTCGATTTTTGATGCTTTTTTTGCTCGATCTTTCAATTTTTTGATTTTTCGCTTTTCCAATTTTTCGATGTTTCGATTTTCCAATTTTTGGCAAATTTTAAGATTTTTCAATTTTTTGATTCTTCAATTTTTTGATTTACGATATCTCGATTCTTCGACTTTTCAATTTTGCTGTTTTTTGAATTTCCCATTTTTCAATTTCTCGAATTTTTGAAGTTTTGATTTCTTGACTTCCAGATTTTTCCATTTTTCGTTTTTCAATGTTTCAGTTTTTAGATTTAGCAATTTTTCAACATTTAAGGTTTTAGAATTTTTCAATTTTCGATTCTTCAATTTTTCGTTTTATCAATTTTTTAATTTTTCAATTTTCCTTTTTTTTTTATTTTTCAGTTCTTCGATTTTTCAAAGTTTACATTTTTCAATTTTAAGTTTTTTTGATGTTTCGATTTCCAGATTTTAATTTTTTTTAATTCAATTATTCGATTTTTCCACATTTCCATTTTTCTATTTTTTGAATTTGAAAATTTTCCGGCTTTTGATCCCTCTATTATTTTAAATTTTCAGTTTCTGAGTCGTTCGAAACTTCGATTTTGCGATTTTTTTCAATTTCTGTACTTTCTAATTTTTCGATTTTTGATGCTTTTTTTGCTCGATCTTTCAATTTTTTGATTTTTCGCTTTTCCAATTTTTCGATGTTTCGATTTTCCAATTTTTGGCAAATTTTAGGATTTTTCAATTTTTTGATTCTTCAATTTTTTGATTTACGATATCTCGATTCTCCGACTTTTCAATTTTGCTGTTTTTTGAATTTCCCATTTTTCAATTTCTCGAATTTTTGAAGTTTTGATTTCTTGACTTCCAGATTTTTCAATTTTTCGTTTTTCAATGTTTCAGTTTTTAGATTTACCAATTTTTCAACATTTAAGGTTTTAGAATTTTTCAATTTTCGATTCTTCAATTTTTCGTTGTATCAATTTTTTAATTTTTCGATTTTTCGTTTTTTTTTATTTTTCAGTTCTTCGATTTTTCAAAGTTTACATTTTTCAATTTTAGGTTTTTTTGACGTTTCGATTTCCAGATTTTAATTTTTTTTTTATTCAATTATTCGATTTTTCCACATTTCGATTTTTCTATTTTTTGAATTTGAAAATTTTCCGGCTTTTGATCCCTCTATTATTTTAAATTTTCAGTTTCTCAGTTGTTCGAAACTTCGATTTTGCGATTTTTTTCAATTTCTGTACTTTCTAATTTTTCGATTTTTGATGCTTTTTTTGCTCGATCTTTCAATTTTTTGATTTTTCGCTTTTCCAATTTTTCGATGTTTCGATTTTCCAATTTTTGGCAAATTTTAGGATTTTTCAATTTTTTGATTCTTCAATTTTTTGATTTACGATATCTCGATTCTTCGACTTTTCAATTTTGCTGTTTTTTGAATTTCCCATTTTTCAATTTCTCGAATTTTTGAAGTTTTGATTTCTTGACTTCCATATTTTTCCATTTTTCGTTTTTCAATGTTTCAGTTTTTAGATTTACCAATTTTTCAACATTTAAGGTTTTAGAATTTTTCAATTTTCGATTCTTCAATTTTTCGTTTTACCAATTTTTTAATTTTTCGATTTTCCGTTTTTTTTTATTTTTCAGTTCTTCGATTTTTCAAAGTTTACATTTTTCAATTTTAGGTTTTTTTGATGTTTCGATTTCCAGATTTTAATTTTTTTATTCAATTATTCGATTCTTCCACATTTCCATTTTTCTATTTTTTGAATTTGAAAATTTTCCGGCTTTTGATCCCTCTATTATTTTAAATTTTCAGTTTCTGAGTCGTTCGAAACTTCGATTTTGCGATTTTTTTCAATTTCTGTACTTTCTAATTTTTCGATTTTTGATGCTTTTTTGCTCGATCTTTCAATTTTTTGATTTTTCGCTTTTCCAATTTTTCGATGTTTCGATTTTCCAATTTTTGGCAAATTTTAGGATTTTTCAA